AGACCCATAAAAGTTCCCTCTTCACCAGTCGTAAGCCTGAGCCCAATCCAAACAAAGGACGCCCACTCTCGGGGAGTTCTCTATAAAAACCCTTATCCCACTGTGTCCATTCTTCATGCTTCGTCCCCGGGATCCCATACTGTCCCCCATGTATGACATCCCCAATTACCTTCTTTAATCTGTTACCCCAAAATCTTTGCAAAAAATTTATAATCTGAACACATTAATGACAACGGATGATAATCACTCAAAACCTCCCCTCCCTCCCCTTCGGCACCAAGACAACACCCCAGTTTGTGTTCGCCCTATCCTAAACCACTGCTCACCATATAAAATTTAGAACTGCCACTAGGCATCCCTCACTCCCCAAAGTGCTCTATAAAAATCATTTGATAAACCAATCTATTCCCAGTGCCTTCCCCTGACCAACCCATTGACCACCACCTCCACCTCTGCCTCCTTAATGCTGCCCTCCAACTGTCCCGGTCCCCATGCCCCAAACCCAGATGAGCCCCGATAACTCCAAATGGGAAACCAAAACCCCAAAAACCCCTTTCTTCCTCTTCCATTTTCCCCCCGAAACCAATAATCTGCATACCTACGATACAGGCGGGATCAAAAGACCCTGACCCTGCACATAAGCCCCCCCCTCCCCCACCACCAAATGTGCCACAGTATTTCTCAACTCTCTGTCCTTTGAATTTCCTTATACAACCCGGAGGGCCATCACCTTTTAAGACACCCCAAAGCCTGCCCTGACCCTGATGCTCAAACTTTTTTGTTATGAATCCCACTAAACATTTCTAAGTTCCCCCAAAACACCACTCACACCTTCCTCCCCCCCCCCCCCAAACAATCATTCAACGCCCCTGAATTTTAAATTTTGCAATCCAAAAACCCCCAGCGTCCCCCTTTCCCTGCCACCGCCTAAAAAACCTGCAATCTCCACCTTTTGCATACAAAATCCCACCAAACTACAAATTCCAACCTCTCCCTAGCCTCCCAAAAACCTTTCCCAACCAGTCCTAAAGGACAAACCTAGATCTCAACCCTGTAAAAAAAAGCCCCCCAACAATTTCCAAAACTCGGAAAAATACCAAAAACCATCTTCCGAAGGTCACCCCAAAACCCAAAAAAATTTTTAAAAAAATTTTTTTCCCTTTGAAAATTTTCAAATTTAATTTACAGCTTTGTTGGGGGTTCTTTAGTTTTTAAAAAGATTACAGAGTGCCCCCTAAACCCCCGCAGCTAGGGATTTTCGGGGAGACTTATTTTTAAATTTTTTATTTTTAAAAAATTTCAAATTTTGAGGGAAGTTGGGATTATGGCTAAATGACTAAAAACTAGTTTTTGATTTTAAAGCAATGTGAATGCTTTTTTTTTGGCACAGTACAATTTTTCAGTATTGAAGTATCATAGGATTCATTATTTTAGAGATTGAGATTAATATTTCTGTTTATGGTCAAATGGGTGAGTGAGTGTAAGTTGGAACCACCAGGTGGTATTCGTGTAGTTATTTTGATGGGGTTTTTATAAAGGAGATAAGATTTTTTCTAATGGTAGTTTTGAAGGTGATGAATGTGTCTGCAGTTCTAAGTTCTCAGGTAGGGTGTTCCAGATTTTAGGGCCTTTGAAAATACATTGAATTTTTGTAAAGGTTTTGTCGGACACGGGGAATGTCGTAGAGATGTTTGTGTCTGGTGTTATGCCTGTGGGTTTCTGTCACAACAAACAAAAAGCGTTTTAGGGCAAGGTTTATATTGGAGTTTGTCCTGTAGATGTAGATTGCACAGTAAATAAGTGTGGATGTACTGAACAGGGAATAATTTAGATCTATGAAGAGTGGGGGGGGGGTTTTGCCAGGATGGGATTTTTGTGATTATTCTTACTGAAGCTTTTTGTTGGTTATTATTTGCTTTAGGTGTGTTGCTGCAGTAGATCCCCAAGCACAAATAGCATAGGTGAGGTATGGATAAATAAGTGAATTTGGGATATGTGAAAGGGCATTTTGCGGCACGTAGTAACATATCTTGGAGAGGGCCCAACCGTTTTGGATACTTTTTTGGTTATGTGGTGGATATGGGTGCTGAAATTCAGGTTGTTGTCAAGGTATAGGCCTAGGAATTTGCCCTCATTATGTCTGGAATTAGAGGTGGGGTTTTAATGTTAATTTGTGCATTTCCTGCTCTGCAAACCAAACATAATATAGTAGTTTGTCATTTAAAAAGCGTAATTTTATTGGCTGTCATCCAAGTCGAAATTTTGATCAGCTCCTCATTAACAAAGGTGTTGAGGGTGGCAAGATTAGGGTGAGAGATGACATAAGTCGTGTCGTCAGCAAAGAGAATGGGTTTCAGGTGTTGGGATACGTTTGGAAGATCATTGATGTATATGAGGAAGAGCAGGGGACCAAGGACACTTCCCTGCAGAACTCCAGTATCAAGTGGCCGTGTTGTTGATACTGTGTCTTTAATGGTGACATACTAATACCTATTAGTAAGGTAAGATTTGAAATAAGCAAGTGCATGGCCTCTTATACCGCAATGATCAAGTATGTGGAGTAGTTCTAACACTCTCCACACGTATCCCCTGCCTAACATAAATCCTATTCAACCTTGTTTCATAACTCCCCTGCACATAGGTGTGGTCCACCTGATACCCCCCCCCCCCCTGCCGACCACATCAACCACCCCCACATCCCGTAAAGCATCCCTTAAAACACTCGACACACACCCCGCACCCCTAGGTATCACATCTCCATGCCTAATCACACAATTCCAATCTCCTCCAACTATCGAAATAGCATGTAAACCCCTTAGAAAGTAGAACAAAACGTCCCTAACAAAGTCTGCTTTTACCCTCATATTACCAATTGCAGGCATATAAACCCCCACAAAACATACCCTACTCTCCCCCCAATATTTTGGCCCGGTGGCCTGGTGGCTAAAGCTCCCGCTTCACACACGGAGGGCCCGGGTTCGATTCCCGGCGGGTGGAAACATTTCGACACGTTTCCTTACACCTGTTGTCCTGTTCACCTAGCAGCAAATAGGTACCTGGGTGTTAGTCGACTGGTGTGGGTCGCATCCTGGGGGACAAGATTAAAATGCAAAGCCGAACTTACAAACATTTTATATCCCCTCAATTGCAACTCACAACCTGACCTATGGTTATGCTCTTGCAAGAAACAAACGTCCACATCTACATTCTTCTCAAGAACACTTCCAAACATACCATTGACTTCCATTCTGAGACCATTAACGTTTAGTGTCACACGTGAATGTTCAAAGAAAGGTGGCTTGCTTCTGTGCCGCTGTGGCTTGCTCACACTCCCTTTTAAGCTGCTCACACTCTCCTTACCATTGTTCTTAATGATACCCCCCTGACCCTCCCCATCCCGATTTCCCCTGTGCACCCCCCCCCTGTAGTGGTCTTCCGTGCCACATCTGCCCATGCCTTCTTACCTGGTCTCTACCCAGGTGTCAATACTTAGTCCAATTCAGACGACCCCGCAGGCCACTTCCTAGAGCTACCACCCAAACTCGTCTCTTCCTCGGGTACATCCTCCCGATGTACCTCAGCTACCACAACTGTTCCCTGGCCTCGCTCATCCAATACTTCCACCTTCTCATGCAGTCCTTCCATCTGCTGCACATCACTGGACCTTCCCTCCAGGTCCTCTCCGCCAAAGCGTCTTCCTCAAAGAACATCCTGTAGCACAGACTCCCAATAACACCCACCTGCGTCACGTTTGCCCCTTCTCTACTGCCACATGCCTTGGTGGATGCCTCACTAGCCTTCCTCCGGTGAGTGTGACACACGTCCCCAACATGTCCCCCTCCTACCCACCTCCTCACTCCAGAGAGCCGCCACCATTCTCGCCGCCAACCCAACCATACTCAACTGTCGGTCCACCACCAAAGGGGTTTGGCACACCTGGGGCAAGCTTTATTACACATTGCGCCGCATGTTGCTCGTACTAGTCACAAAGACAGCACGTCCTCCTTGCCGCGTAATGCACATAGAACTGAGTTCTGGTCCCAGTCAACGAGAACATAATGAGAATAGGCCCTCCTTCAATGTCATCTTGAGGGTGTAGAACCTTCTGGGAGGCCTTCATATGGGCCATCCTCCATTCCCCTCCTCGAGCCTCATGACCGACACCTTAGTTGCTGAAGACGTCCTCTACCTCAACCTTTTCGCCTAAAACGTTACATTCCTTACCGAACCCAAGTTTAATATGTAACCACATCATGCATGAAACAGCCTCCACCGTCGATTTAAGGCACATCCGTCATTCCTGGTACTCGGCCACCACACTACTGTAGAAACTGGCCCTCGTAAACTTCACGAAGACTCTTCTCAACCCATTGAGGGCAACACCACACAGCTCCTCATTAGGGATGCCGTAGAGATCCCTAATAATAGCTGGAAGGAGCACATTCATCGTAGCAGTGCTCAAGGATCCCCGTATCAGCTCGATGCACAGTGTTAATCCTCCTGCCGGCACGATCCACCATCTTGGAACACTGAAAACTGCTCAGAAACCAGTTGAATTAGAAGCTACTGCGCAGCCTGTCCGCTCGGCCCAATAGCGATGCAAACAATGATCTTTTTTACTTGCAATAAATACCAATTGGTCACTAATGAAGTAAATGGCTGTTGTTCATTAACTGGTATAATTTTTGTATTATTTGGGTATAATTTGAGTGACAGTTGAAGTGTTTCTTCTATTATTTTGGTCACTGTATAATGGTGGCTGACTTAACTTTTTTAAATGTGTTGCAGGGATGTGTGATGGCTGCGGACGGAGCGTCGTCATGGAGGACCTCCCCCGCAGCGTCGTCATGGAGGACCTCCCCCGCATCGCGTCATGGAGGAACCTCCCCCGTCAGCGTCGTCAAGGGATGACCTCCCCCGCAGCGTCGTCCATGGAGGACCTTTCACCCGCAGCGTCGTCTTGGAGGACCTCCCCCCAGCAGCGTCGCACTGAGGATCAACTTGCAGCAGTTTTGAACTCCTGGCGCTGTTACAACCATCATAAGCTGCCTTTGTTGACTACCAGGTGAAACCTACTGTTGGGTGTTTGGTCAGTAGGGACCAAGGGGGAAGTGTAGGTGGTTCAGGGAGGATGCCAGAGGGATGGTGTAGGTGGTCAGGATGATCCAGATAGGGTATTGTAGGTGTCAGGAGGATCCAGATGGGTGGTGTAGGTGGTCAGGGAGCATCCAGAATGGGGTGGTGTAGGGGTTCCCAGGGAGGATCCCAGAGGGTGGTGTAGTAGTCCAGGGAGGATCCCAGAGAAGGAGTGTAGGTGTTTCAGGGAGGATCCAGAGAAGGTAGTGTAGGTGGTCAGGAGGATCCAGAGAAGGAGTGTAACAGTGGGTCAGGGAGGATCCAGAGAAGGTAGTTGTAGAGTGTCAGGGAGGATCCAGAAAAGGTAGTGTAGGTGTTCAGGGAAGGCTCCGAGAAGGTATGTAGGTTGGTCAGGAGGATCCAGAGAAGGTAGTGTAGGGGTCAGGGAGGTCCAGAAGAAGGTATTGTAGGTGGTCAGGGATATCCAGAGAAGAGAGTACGTGTCAGGGAGGATCCAGAGGGGGTAGTGGAAGTGGTCAGGAGGATCCAAGGGGGCAGTGTAAATGCGGTCAGGGAGGATCCAAGGGAAACAGTGTATGCGGTCAGGGAGGACCAGAGGGGGGAAGTGTAGATGGTGAGGGATGATCCCAGAGGGGGGAAGTAGTAAAATGGTGAGGGAGGATCCCAGAGGGGGAGTATAGATGGTGAGGGTGATCCAGAGGGGGGAAAGTGTAGATGGTGAGGGAGGATCCAGAGTGGGGAAAGTGTATGATGGTGAGGGCGAATCCAGAGGGGAAGTGTAGATGGTGAGGGAGATCCAGAGGGGGGGAAGTGTAGATGGTGAGGAAGGATCCATGGGGGGGGAAGTGTAGTATGGTGAGGGAGGACCAGAGGGGGGGAAGTGTAGATGGTGAGGGAGGATCCAGAAGGGGGGAAGTGTAGATGGTGAGGAAGGATCCAGAGGGGGGAAGTGTAGAGGTGAGGTAGAAATCCAGAGGGGGAAGTGTAGATGGTGAGTGAAGCACCAGAGGGGAGGAAGTGTAGAAGGAGATGGAAGATCCAGAGGGGGGAAGTTGTATGCATGAGGGATGGGGGTCCAGTGGGTGTGGTAAGTGTAGGTGGTGAGGGAGGGATCTGCTGGGGGAAGTGTAGTGGTGAGGGCGGGGTCCTGCTGGGGGGAAGTGTAGGTGGTGAGAGGGGTCCTGCTGGGGGGGTGAAGTGTAGGTGGTGAGGGGAGGTTCTGCTGGGGGGGGGAAGTGAGGTGTGAGTGGAGGGGGTCTTCTGGGTGAAAGTGTAGTGGTGAGGGAGGTCTTTGAGTGGGGAAGTGTAGGTGTGAGGGAGGAGTCTGCTGGGGGGAAGTGTAGGTTGTGAGGGCGGGGTCTGGCTGGGGGGGAAGTGTAGGTGTGATTGGAGGGGTCTGCTTGGGGGGAAGGTAGGTGGAGAGGTAGGGTCATGCTGGGGGGAAGTGTATGTGGTGAGGGAGGTCGCTGGGGGAAGTGTAGGTGGTGAGGGAGGGGTCTGCTGGGGGGGAAGTGTAGGTGGTGGAGGGAGGGGTCTGGCTGGGGGGGAAGTGTAGGTGTTGAGGGAGGGGTCCACTTGCTGGGGGGGAAGTGTAGGTGGTGAGGGAGGGGTTCTGCTTGGGGGAAGATGTTGGTGGTGAGGGAGGGGTATGCTGGGGGGAAGAGTAGTTGGTGAGGAGGTGTCTGCTGGGGGGAAGTGTAGTGGTGAGGGAGGGGTCTGCTGGGGGAAGTGTAGTGTGTGAGTGTCCAGTGAGAGGAAAAGTGTAGGTCGAGAATAAGGGATCCAGTGGGGGGGAGGGAAGTGTAGGTGAGTGAGGGGTCCAATGGGGGGGAAAGTGAAGGTGGTGAGGGAGGGGTCTAGGGGGGTGAAAAGTGTAGGTGATGGAGGGGTCCAGTGTGGGGGCAAATGTTGGTGAGGGAGGGGTCCAGTAGGGGGGAGGTGTAGGTGCTGATTAACAGTCCAGTTGGAGCCTACTGTGGGGTCCCCATTGGAGAAATAGGAGTTTTGCTGGTTTGGAGCTCTCAAAATTTGGGTTTCATTGGCTCAGCTTTCCTTAGATCAAACCTGATCACTGTCAGTTCCTCCTTTGCTGTTTTTCATAAGGCCATGAAAGGCTTCTTAATATTGCTCTTGCACTGTTTCACTCGAATTGCAAGGTATAATTGAAACCAATGCTTTTTTGTCTGGGGTTTGAACTTTCCTTGTTTTGAATGATGGGTGAAAAATCTGTTATATTTTGATGTGAAAAATAGTAAATTTTCTTGGGTTGCTTGTGTGATGGTCCAAGTTTTCTACTTTGGTCACTATATTGATGGTAGACTATGTTGAGAAAAAAAAAAGAAATAAGCCTTCCATAGTGGGGGAAAATTTATGGAATCGGTAATTGCCGAGGCAATTCGTAGCCATCTTGAAATGCATACTGATTAATGTCCTCATCGCTCTAGGGCTGTGTGGACGTGCTGCAAAAAAGCTCCTGCTTTCGCTGTTGTGCAACTTCCTATTTTCTCCAAGATGGCTGCCAGTGGCCGCAGGAGGAGTAACACTGTGTGTGTTGACTTAGTCAAAGGGGCAATTTACCCAACATATGCCTCTGTTTTGCTGCCGACGATCGTCAGGGATACTTTCTGTATTGCCAACGATGAGTTACATGGGATTGCTCTGAATGGTTGTAAAAGGATTTTCGTCAAATTCTGCACAGTGGAAGCTTACGAAAGGATGGTAACTAACTACCAGGAGAGATGTATCACCGTTTCATCTGGGCTGGAGGTATGCCTGCGGGATGCCTCCAAATACACACCTGGGTGAGGATTCGGAATGTTTCCTTTTGAAGCGGATGACATGTGATATTCGAGAGACATTTCAAGCTATGGTGAGGTACATGCTGTGACTTTGGAAGGCTGGAATCTAAGTGGGCTTCCTGCAGGATCTTGCAAGTATCAAGATGAACTTAGAGAAAGCCCATACCCTCGTATGTTGTCCTGGAGATTTATTACGGACACGGGGTTTATTCGAGAGCTATGCGGGACAACATAAAACATGTAGACTGTGTGGTGCTTTTGATCACATGGCAGCCGGATGTGGTAAGGCTGCAGCTCCACGGTCAAAGGAATGCCAGTAGTCACAGAGTCGTTGTGGGTCCTTAATCTGCCTGCCGGTGGTTTAGCAGGCAAAAGAAATTGGGCGGGCCGATGTAGAAGGTGTGGAGGAGCGTTGTGTGACCCTACCAGAAGCTTTGGCAGCTCCCCGCTGGAAGAACCTGAAGTGGAGCAGCAGCCGTTGGAGTCGGGGGGGGGGGTGCTGGTGACCTACAGATTTATCTGAACCTCTTGCAGGAGATGATTAAGTCTTCCTAGACGTGCCAGCGGAGGAGAAACCCTGTTCTATACGGGAAACTTCTGATGGGTTGACAACGCTGACTGGAACAACAGGCAGCGGGGTCCTAATGGGGGTCAGGTTTCCTGGCATTCTGCAGTTTGTTGCAGGTGGAAGCTGATGTTGCACAGGGAAGTGGAAATAATAATTGGAAGATTGAGGGGGCTTCTTTGAAGAGAGCTGGAGCCTGTCGATGACGAGGTCATTTACTCCCCGCTCAGCGACCCTGGCAAAAGACGTGGGAGTTAGGTCACAAGACAGACAGAGTAGTTGCTCAGGGAGGAGGGATCAAGGAGGGGCGGGGATAGGGGGAGTGTATGGGAGGAATATCAAGAGTAATAAAAAGTGTTACAGGACAGAGAGACAGTAGAGGAAAGCCACCTTTTTTGCATCAAAGTGTTTAACTAATAAAGTGCCTTAGAGCTGAGATAAACGCGTATGTTCAAAGAATGTTAGAGACATTTAGAAGTTGACTGTGTGCTTTATACAGGAATCAATTTTAAGTGTGTCAGAGAGTTGAAGTTGAAAAGGGTTTAGAGTATGCTGGTAGTTTCAGGAAGTAAAGGGTTGGGGGGGACAGTGGCTGTGAGGAATCCACAGCCCATTTCAAGATCTGCATGGGAAGAAGCAGGAGGAGGGGAGGGTAGTGAGGTAGAGGGGCTCTGGTGGGGAGATAAGTGTGTTTTCTCGGGATATAGATGCTAGCAATAGTCAACAGATGGATAAAGGTGAATTTTTATATGGGATGTTCTGTCTTTTCCACTTGCAGGGTTTATCCATTGGTTTTCATAGTAGGAGGGGACTGGAATTGTGTCTTAGAAATAAGGAGTGTGGAGCTGAGGGGTGCAGGGGTACGCTTGGTGTTGAGGGATTGTGAAGGGACCAGGGGTTTAGATGTAAGTCAGGGTGATGGGTGGAAAGTGTAGGCACACGTTTATGGCGAGAGGGGTTAAGCTGCAAGATATAGATTCGAAATACACAACACGTGAGATTACAGAGTAAACGGTGGACTGACGATGACGTAGTTTTTCGGACCATCGTGCATTATTTGGCAGAGGTGGCATGGATGGTATGGTTCGCATCGTACGCAGGTTATTGGAAAGTGAATATGAGGATACATTCAGGGGGATGGGAAGGGTTTACATTCAGGGACTGGTGGAGACAATTCTTGGGAGGCACCAACATTGAAGGATCATGTTTTGAGGACGGTGGGAGATGCAAGCTAAATGGCGGATTAAAGGATTATTTACCAGTCATAGAGGACGGGATGATGCGCGGTGAGGTTTGGATTACAGATATACCTGGAGAGGCAGCTCATGATTGCTATGAAAGGGGGTGGGGGTGTAGGCATAGGGAAATTGAGTTTAAGGGGAAGACTGAAGGAGAAACAGAAATCTAATTTCGTGTCAATACGTGTGAAGGGAAGGATTAGAGAGGTACTATGGGTGATAAACCGTAAGGATGTGTCTTTTGGCGGAGGTTCAGGGAAAGACAGTCATATGACCAGTACTATGGATTAGAGTTGAAAATAGGGGTGAAGTGGCTATAGGGTTGGGCAGGTACTAAGAACCACTGAGGAATGAGTAACTATGCTGA